AGTAGAAGCAGTGAATTCAGTACTGAATTAATGCTATATAATAGTAATAGAGAATTCAGTACGTTATTAATCCTATATAATAGTAAGAGTGAATTCAATACTGAATTTATGCTTTATAGTAGTAATGGCGAATTCAGTACTAAATTAGTGCTATATTGGAATACTGAATAGTAGTATATAATAGTGACTTCAGTAGTGAATTATTGCTATATAATAGTAACAGTGAATTCAGTACCTAATTAATACTATATAATAGTAATACCGAATTTAGTATCGAATTAATGATATATTGTAATAACAAATACAGTAGTGAATTGACGTTAGTTTTGAATAGTAACAGTGAATAAATTCAGTAGTGAATTAATGCAGTAATAGAGAATTCAGTACTGAAGCAATTCATCTCAGCATTCACTATTACTAATACAATTAAAACATAAAATAGTCAAACATACTATTCAAACGCTACTAAATTAACTTGTACTACTATAAAGCATTAAAATAGATCCGTTATTAGAGATGAGTTATTGAAACTATTATGTTGAAGAAGTCTGCTCTCCGTTAAACAGAAATCGGGGAAAAATAAACATGGGGGCTAATAATTCTGACTTCAACTGAGCGTGTACGTGTATGTGTGTGTGTGTGTGTGTGTGTGTGTGTGTGTGTGTGTGTGTGTGTGTGTATGTATGTGTGTGTGTGTGTGTGTGTGTGTGGTGCATTGCCATGTCTCTCTGTGTGAGCTGGACGACACACAGGCTCAGCACAGATGGGAAAGTCAGTCTGTGGGCGTCAGATGCAGTAAAATGGCTCTTCTCACACTCCTTCACTCACATGCGCTCCAATAATAAAAAAAATCTAAAAATGCAATGCCCAAGGCCACTCTGGCTGCGTGCATGAATGTTTGCATGTGACAGGTTGAGTGCAAAAAAACGTGCATTATTGCATCACTTAGCATCAATTTAAAAGTCAATCCAATGCATTCGTCCTGCTTGGAAAGTGCGTTGAAAAGGTGTCAAGTGTGTGTGTGTGCTCTTAAAAGGATTATAATTACTGCTCTTTGTGGTCTAATCAGTCTTGTATGAATGTGTGTGTGTGTGTGTGTGTGTTTGTGAAACATGCTTTCAATATCAATGCACTAAAATGTCTTGAAGCTCAAAAGCTCCTGTAGGATACTTTTTAGGCTTAGAATTTTAAAAAATAGATTTTTTCTATTATGGGCTGTCATTTGGTTTCACTTTAAATTGTCGCTACTTCAAACCATTTTTGCTGAAGCACTAAGTGGCTCTTTCTGTTGGTTGAAATGGCCGAAACACACGCACAAAAGCCTTCTTATATAACTGAAATTCAGCAGTTCATCTCTCCCAAGATAAATGTTGGGTACAGCGTATGATATGTTAGAAAGACACGCATATTTTGTTGGTTTGACTTGGGTTTCCAGCAGCTTTGAGTCGTTTTTATCATAAAGGTTCAAAACTTGAATTTTACAAAAAAAAAAAAAGCTGAAGTTTAATACCTGTTATTTATAGTATGCAGGTTTCTGCAACCCAGGCTCATGAAAAATGCATGTGACCTTTTTTGTTGTATACAAAAATATGCATAAGGGATCCTTAACATACTGATGTGTGTTAAAGAATTTAAAGAGAGTTAAAGAAGAAAGCAGTAGTCATCTATCACACTTTAATATAAAATTAAAATTATAATGTAATAGATTTTAATTTCATTCAATTTCCTTTAGTATTATTTTATTTTATTAACTTTATTTTATTTCATTCAATTTTGAAATTTAATTTAATTTAATATTATTTTATTTTCATTTTTTCATTTTAGTATTTCTTAAATTGAAATAAATTTATTTTAATTTAATTTAATTATCAGTCAAGTTAATTACAATTAAAATGAAAATATCTTTGTTATTATTTTAAAATTTTATTGCATTTTATTTTATTGTATTTTATAATATTATATTTTTATAATTTAATAAAATGTAATTATTAGTCAATCATATTAAATTTCAAATTAAAACATATTTTTATAATAAAATATATATTATTAAATTAAGTAGTTTACTTTTATTTAACTTATTACATTTTTATTTTATTTTATTACGTTTTAATTTAATTTAATTTTAATTTATTACATTTTAATTTAATTTAATGTAATTTAATTTTTAGTCAAATAAGTATATTGTACAGTCAATCAACTAAAATATTATATTTATATGACTAAAACTTTAGATTAAAATATGACTTTTATTAACTACTGGCTTATTACTTGCCTAATAATAAGATATTGGCTGCTTATTAGAACTTATAAAGTATATATGTATCTTAATCTCAATACATGAACCCAAACTATTAATGAGCAGCAAATGAGTAGTTTATTGAAATAAAAGTCTTCACTAATTGTTTGTTAATAGCAACAAAGATTATTTAATTTAATTTAATTTAATTTAATTTAATTTAATTTAATTTAATTTAATTTAATTTAATTTAATTTAATTTAATTTAATTTAATTTAATTTAAAAATTTTATTTTATTTTATTTTATTTATTTATTTATTTATTTATTTATTTATTTATTTTTTACCACAACCAAGATCAAAACATCTCTCTTTTTAATCTAAGAAACATTGTCATCCTCAAAAATAACGCAAGAAAAACAATATATATATTTTTTCATGCACAGAAAATACATTTGCATTTAGATGAATTTTTAGACAGTCATACAATCTATACAGGAATGAACCCAGAATACACACATGATGTTTATTTTAGATGGAGAATGATAATGGTATTAATATTAAAGTGATGTTGTTTTGGATAGTGTTGGGATATGTGAAATGTGTGAGTGATGTTCACAAACAGCAGAAGAGAAACAATGAGTACGGCTGATAAACTGCAGTCTAACGTATAATCAGGCACAGTTAGGACGGCTAAATAAATAGGTATTACAAGCACGTTTCCCATCTCTTTTGTTGTTAACATCAAATGCTGCAATCAAACAGTATTGTAGCGCAGATTCATCTGCCAAAATGAGACAGATGCGTGACATGCCCTCAGAAACAAACAAAACTGCACAAGAGAAAAGACAAATGACTCACATGCACATCACACACATCACAAAAATAAAAAAATGCATTCATTTTCATCCTCTGAATAGGTTTTCCAGTTCAAGCACATTATAACACAGAGATTTGTTTACTTCAGAAGTCTATTATTCAGGAAAATGCATCAATAAAATAAATCAAACTCGCAAAAATGCATAATAAAAACACAATATGACTTTATATGACTTTAGTTTGCAATGCGTCATAATGTAAATTATGAAGTGAAACTGTTGAAATATAATGTGCATTTAAACTCACCGGCCACTTTATTAGGTACACCTGTCCAACTGCTTATTAATGCAGATTTCTAATCCGCCCATCCCATGGCAGCAATTCAATGCATTTAAGCATGTAAACATGGTAAACGTTCTGCTTTGAACTGAGACTTTGACAAGACTTTGAATGTGGCATGGTTGTTGCTGCCAGACAGGCTGGTCTGAGTATTTCAGAAACTGCTGATCTAGTGGGATTTTCACACACAAGAGGAAAATATCCAGTAAGCGGCAGTTCTGTGGGCGCAAATGCCTTGTTGATGCCAGAAGTTCAGGCTGGTGGTGGTGGTGTAATGGTGTGGGCGAGATTTTCTTTGGGTCCATTAGTACCAATTGAGCATCAACGCCACAGCCTACCTGAGTATTGCTGCTGACCATGTCCATCCCATTATGAGCACAGTGTCTCCATCTTCTGATGGCTACTTCCAGCAGGATAACGCAGCATGTCATAAAGCTCAATCATCTCAGACTGGTGAACATGACGATGAGTTCACTGTACTCAAATGGCCTCCACAGTCACCAGAGCTCAATCCAATAGAGCAGCTTTGGGATGTGGTGGAACGGCAATCATGGTTGTGCAGCCGACAAATCTGCAACAACTGCGTGATGCTATCATGCCAATATGGAGCAAAATCTCAGAGGAATACCTTGTTGAATCTCTGCCACGACGAATTAAGGCAGTTCTGAAGGCAAAAGGGGTCAAACCTGGTACTAGTAAGGTGTACCTAATAAAGTGGCCGGTGAGTGTGTATGTCTGACAGAGAGATTTCAAGCAGAATGAAGTGGCTTATAGGTGACATTTTTAGACGTCTATTAATAAAAGCATCAAATGTATCTTAGCAGGCGTTTAGAAAGAGAAACACTGCCAAATCCTCCTCATCACACACTAATAACTGTGCCTGTCTGCAACTTTATCATCATACAAAAATCTGATTATTATTCAGGCCAAGTATGATCACTTTTTTCGCTTTACATAAAAAGAACAAGCATGATTAATCACTTCATTGTCCTTCAAACTAATCCTTTTATTCATCAGGGATCACCACAGCGGAATGAACCACCAACTATTCCAGCATATGTTTTACACATCGAATGCTTTTACAGCAGCAACCCAGTACTGGGAAACACCCATGCACACTCATTCACACACACACACACAGACACTCATCCACTACAGCCAATTTAGCTCATCAGTTCCCCTATAGCGCATGTGTTTGGACTGTGGGGGAAACCGGATCACCCGTAGGAAACCCACGCCAACATGGGGAGAACATGCAAACTCCACACAGAAATGCCAACTGACCCAGCCGAGACTCAAACCGGCAACCTTCTTGCAGTGAGGCCACAGTGCTAATCACTGAGTCACCGTGCCACCTATATATCAGTGCAAATCATTAGCACCTGTTTCAGCTGTGGAATGCAAAGCATGATGGGAGTTGTAGTCCGGGTACAATGTTCATATAGCTGGAGTCTGGTGGGAATGATCGTAACACAACACAAACACACTTTCTTCTATTTTTCTGTTGTTTTCATCAAAATTATGTTTATTTTCTTAGCCTATTTAAATTTTAATGTTTTTTTTTTTTGTAATAAAGAAACATTTTTAAGTTGAGGCAGTAACTCACCGTGAGCGTCTCGATAGTATGCGTGCGTCACACTCCTGAAACGCTCCTGTCCCGCTGTATCCCAGATCTACAACACAAGAGCAGACACAGACATTAAACTCTGCATTCATGAACACACACACACACACACACACACACACACACACACACACACACACACACACACACACACACACACACACACACACCTACATTTGTGTGTAATTGGATAGGCCTCTATTTCGTTATATACTGACCTAATGGTATTTTCATCCACTAAACCTAAAGCTGCCCCTGAACACAAACCTCACAGAAAACAAACTCAAATCCTGCATGATTTAGAAACTCTTTTCCTCATGAGGACCAGAAAAAAAAGTCCCAATAAAGGTCAGAAATTGCTGCTATTATTATTAATATACTGCAGCTGAGGGCATGTTTGGTCCTCATAATACAGAGAAATACACACTCTTCCTCTCTCACACACACACAAGCGGAGACACACAAACAAGATGTTCATTGATAGTCTGAAGTGTTGCTGATTATTTTTATCAGCTCTTTACACTCTTATTCAAGAGAAGGAGAAATCTCGAAATCTGTTTGATTGTAGAAATGAACTCATTTCCATGCCGGATGTCCTGAGGGCGAGTAAACAATGAGCACACGTTCACTTTTCGGGAGTGAACTACTGCTTTAATGTGCTTTCCCGCAGCTCTCAAAGCAAATCTGCACTGCTTTGTACTGACTTTCTACTGCATAGAAGTTTCTTCGGACTATTACAAAGATCTTCGCACTATTAAAAGATTTGTGCTTTTAAATATCGCTCACTTAAAGGATCTGTCGGGGAAACAAGCTAAAATGTTGTTTAAATGCATTGCTGTCATTCATTTATTCTCCTTCGGCTTTAATCATCAGGGGTCACCACAGCGGAATGAACCGCCAACTATTCCAGCATGTGTTTTACACAGTGGATGCCCTTCCAGCTGCAACCCAGTACTGGAAAACACCCATACACACTCATACACTACAGCCAATTTAGTTGATCAGTTCCCCTATAGCGCATGTGTTTGGACTGTGGGGGAAACCGGAGCACCCGGAGGAAACCCATGCCAACACGGGGAGAACATGCAAACTCCACACAGAAACACCAACTGACCTAGCCGGGACTCGAAGCTGCGACCTTCTTGCTGTGAGGCCACGTAGCTAACCACTGAGCCACCGTGCCAACATGCATTGCTATAAATACCTATAAATACATGCAATGGATCTGATTTGATTTCCTGGAACAGCAAATGTATTAATATGTTTAAAGTGTGAATAAGTAAAGTAGGAACTTATTCGTGTGAATAAAAACAATAGATACACATAAATAAAATAGTAAATAAATAAATAATGAATAGAAAACACCAATTAATTAATTAAACAAGTAATAAAAACTGAAAAAATATCTAAAATGTGCTTGAAAATGTGTTTTTCCCACTGTTGGGTTGCAGCTGGAAGGGCATCCGCTGTGTAAAATCCAAATAAAGGGACTAAGCCGAAAAGAAAATGAGTGAATGAATAAAAATTTGCTAAATATTCAACTCCTCACTGCGTATTTCATAACAAAATAAATGCATTAGTTCTGTGTTTCTCAACCATGTCCCTTTAGGACCACCAACACTTCATGGTTTGGATGTCTCCTTTGTCTGCCACACCCGTTAAAAGTCTTTCAGTCTCTGCTAATGAGCTGGTGATCTGAGTCAGGTGTTTTTGGTTCAGAAGACCAAGAGCTGGTGGTCCTCTAGGAGCGTGGTTGAGAAACACAGCATTAGTTAATACAAAATAAATTATTATTATTAAAAAGAAAATAAAAGGAAATTAAACTATTAAAAATGAAATTATGGCGACGCAGTGGCGCAGTAGGTAGTGCTGTCGCCCTACAGCAAGAAGGTCGCTGGTTTGAGCCTCGACTGGGTCAGTTGGTGTTTCTGTGTGGAGTTTGCATGTTCTCCCTGCGTTCGTGTGGGTTTCCTCCGGGTGTTTCCCCCAAAGTCCAAACACATGCGGTACAGGTGAATTGGGTAGGCTAAATTGTCCGTGGTGTATGAGTGTGCTGAGTGTGTGTGGATGTTTCCCAGAGATGGGTTTGTGGCTGGAAGGGCATCCGCTGCGTAAAAACTTGCTGGATAAGTTGGCGGTTCATTCTGCTGTGGCAATCCCGGATAAACGCCGACAAGAACATAAATAAAATTATTCAAAATAATGTCTTAACTCTGCAAAAAGCTCAGCATTTTTGTCTTGTAGTTGAATAAAATATATCATGGATTAAGAAATATTTGCTGAAGAGGGAAAATGACTTTAAAGATCCCAAATCAAAATTAAATAAGCAGCAATGTGACTGTAAAAATAAAAAAAAAATCGTTCATTCATTTTCCCTTCTTCTTCAAATATTTCCCAAATGATGTTGAACAGATTCAGGAATTGTTCGCAGTATTTCCTAAAATATTTGTTCTTGTGGAGAAAGTCTCATTTGTTTTATTTGGGCTAGAATAAAAGCAGTTCTTAATTGTTTTAAAGCCATTTTAAGGTCAATATTATTCGCCCCTTCAGCAATATTAGTGTTGGATTGTCTCCAGAACAAACCACTGTTATACAATGACTTGCCTAATTACCCTAACTTTACCCTAATTACCCTAGTGAAGCCTTTACATGTCACTTTAAGCTGAACACTAGTCAAATATCTAGGCTAATGTTATTTACTGTCATCATGGCAAAGAGAAAAGAAACCAGTGATTAGAAATGAGTTATTAAAGCTATTATGATTAGAAATGTGTTATATAAAATCTCTCTGTTAAAGAGAAATTAGGGAAAAATATATATAGGAGGGCAAATACTTCTGACTTCAACTGTATATAGTTTGCAGTTAAACACAGAGGACCGGAAATATATAAATAGCAGCTTTAATGTGAGTTTCTCCACTAATGATCAGTAAAAACACACAGAGTCAAGCAGGATGAAAAGCTGCTTTTATCATCCGTACAGAATCTCAGAAGTCTGAACATGCAAACTACTACAGTACAGCGCATTATATCCTCTTTTAAACCAGATGAAAACATGTTTGTGTCTCCACCATCTTCTTTTAAACCAAAGATGAACACAGTAATTAGAATAGAAAAAAAGGCTGAATGTTTATTTATGCACGACTTTACGGTTATTTTTAAATGTTTTTTGAATATGTGCTCACGGCTATATTTATTTGATTAAAAATGCTGTGAAAATGTGAAATATTATTACAATTTAAAAGAACTGCTTTATTATTGATTTTTTTTTAAAACATTTATTTATTACTGTGATTTAAAGCAGAATTTTCAGCACCGTTATTCCAGTTTTAAGTGTCAAATCATCCTACAGTTTTTTATGACATTTTTTTATTGTAATAAGCCTGTGCTGCTCACCAAGGTTACATTTATTTGATTAAAAAATGCTGTAAAAATTATAAATATTATTACAGTTTAAAAATAAATGTTCTATTATTCAATTTAGCTTAAAGTTTAATTTATTACTGTGATTTAAAGCAGAATTTTCAGCATCATAACTCACTTTTTAAGTGTAATTCTTCAGTTTTTTAAGAGTTCTTTATTAAAAGAAGTCTGTTCTGCTCACCATAGCTTTATGTATTTGATTAAAAATTGTGTAAAATTGGAAATATTACTACAATTTAAAAAAAACTGCTTTATTATTGAATTTAGTTTAAAGATTTATTTATTACTATCATTTAAAGTTGATTTTTCAGCATCATTACTCCAGTCTTCTGTGTCACACTCAGAGTTTTATTACATTTATTTGATTAAAAATGCTGTAAAAATGTAAAATATTATTATATTAAAAAAAGGTTTTATTATTGAATATAGTTTAAAGGTTAATTTATTACCATGATTTAAATCAGTATTTTTCAGCATCACAACTCTTCAGTGTCACACAATCCTTTAGATTTGTTTTTTTATTATTAAAATAACCCTCTTCTGCTCACCAAATCTATGTTTATTTCACTAAAAATGCTGAAAAAATGTGAAATATTATTAGAATATTTTTATTAAAGATTAATTTTTTTCAGATTTTTCAGCATCATTTTACCTTCAGAAATCAGGATGATTTGTTCTTGAACAGTTATAACTAATTAGTTACTGTAGTCATTAACAATGATTTCTAGTTTGATTATCAGTGTTGAAGGTGATTATATTTCATGAAAACATATTATTATATTTTATAAAACATTTATTTAATTTAAAATATTTATAATTTTAGTAGTCTTTGATTAAATAAAACAAGAATAATAAAATTATATATATATATATATATATATATATATATATATATATATATATATATATATATATATATATATATATATAT